AATTTCAAAATGACAGTCCGTGAAGAGACTGTACAAATTAAAGGAGTTGTGAAGGATATTTTGACCCAAGAAAGTATGGAGGGCTTTCTTCAAACTATCTTAGACCGCCAAATCGAGGCGCTCAAAGCGGCGCCCGACGACCGCTGTTTTATTGAAGTAGATTCTAGCGAGCACACGGACCGCCCTGTGTTTCTCGGCCTAAGACGCATAGACCAACTTGCTCCAGACGTCATCTTGAGCCAGGTTGTGCGGACGCTCAACTCAAATCAGAATTTTCTGATTGATGGAAAACTGCGGTTTAAGATGCTCCACATCCCTGTGACCCGCCCCGGCGGTAAGCCCGATAGGAGGCCCTGTGAGACGGTCGAGGCATGGCTGCTCCGTTACGGCCCCAAGTCAGGTGCTATTTTCACCCCGAAAAATAACGATAACATGTGTCTAGCCCGCTGTCTCGTCATTGGTACCATGTACAAAAATATTTCCCACGCTCTGCTGTGTCACCACAAGAAACCTACCTCTACGTTCCAAACAAGCAAGGCTTTGGAGCTGTGTGCTGAGGCTGGTGTGGACCCCCAGACCCCTTGTGGTATGGGTGAGGTAGAGAAATTCCAAAAAGTGTTGGAAAATTACCGCCTCGTTGTCTTTTTAGACAGGCGCGGTAAGGAACGCTCTTTCACGGGCCCTAAGTCCACTGTGGAGCAACCCCGTAGAAATCTTTGTTTATTTCTACATGAAGGGCACTTCCACGCCATTCTTAAACCGGCGGCAGCCTTCGGCGCGTCGTACTTTTGTGAGGACTGTCTGCAGGGATACTCCCACAAAACTGAGCACCACTGCCCCGGCTCCTGCTGGCGGTGCGGAGGGCCTGAGGACCACCCTCTGGACGGGGGTAAATACATAGATTGCAACCTCTGCAATCGTTTCTTTGCTTCTCAAGAGTGTTTTGATTTCCATAAGACCGCCAAGATCCACGCCCACGGCGCTACTACTTGCCTTGTAAAAAAGTTTTGTAAGACGTGTAACAGTGTATATAGCTTGAATGGTCGTGGCAAGAGGAAACGTACACACCATGTGTGTAACTCTTATTATTGTAAATATTGTAAAGATATTGTTGTGGAGTTTCCCAACAAACCCCACAGGTGCTACATTCTCCCTTGGGAGGAGCAGCCCCTGTGTGCAAAAACTGATTACCTGAGAGTCTACGCAGATTGCGAAACTACTCAATTTGAGGTCTACCAAGACAAAAATAATTGGTTTGAACATAAAGTAAATTATCTTGTGTGTCAAGTTGTGTGTGAACTTTGTGAGAAAGACGAAGGTGACTTCATCACCTGTCCTAATCACGGTGAACGCACCAAAGTATTTCATGCACTTGACGATGTCGAAAAAAATCCCGTCACGGATTTTTTAAATTTCCTAGAGGAATTATCGTCTCAACAGCCTGCTTTCGAGGAAAAGACTAAAAGGCATATCGCCATTTGGTCCCACAATGCCTCAGGCTTTGACAACCATCTGTACCTCCAAGAGATGGCCGCCCGTGGCAAAATACCCACTTTGATCTGTAAAGGGCTGAGAATTTTGGGTATGAACTACGGGTCTTGGGTGTTCAAGGACTCGTGCCTCTTTCTCGGCACCAAGCTGAGCAACCTGCCTGGCTGCTTCGGTATCGAAGGAGTGAAAAAATTTGATTTTCCTTACATGTTCAACCGGCCTGAACATTATTCTTACGTGGGTCCTATACCCGCTAAAGAGTTCTACAGCATCGGTAAGATGTCTGTTAAAGATGCCGAAACATTTGAGCGGTGGCATACCGAACAGCTCCAAGCCGGTGTCATTTTTAATTTTAGAGAGGAAATTAAAGAGTACACAATAAATGACGTCAGAATTTTACGGTTGGCGTGCGAAAAGTTTCGCACTGATTTCATTCAGGAGGCAGGCTTTGACTGCCTGCACCACTGTCTCACTCTAAGCAGCACCACGTTCTGCATTTTCAGGCGTGATTTTATGCGCCCTCATACCATGGGCATTATTCCACGCCCTGGTTTTTACAGAGG